TATATATATACACATAAAACTTTCTGTATATATGTTAAACATGGTTATAGAATTGTAATAAGTGAAAGAAAATTTAAATACGCATAATTATGCTTAAAAATGTACATTATTTTTCAAGATGAAAAAATCAAGAATATTTTTTGAATAGAATATATTTTTTTCGCAAATTTAGAATGTAAGCTTATTTTTTACTTTCTCTTTTATGGGACTGTTTTCTTTTTCAGACGATTATGTACATGATAATTTTATTGAACAAATCGATAGAACAATGGCGTTTCCAAACGAATCGATAAGACTTCGGTAATTATCGAAAATTTATTAAGAAAAACTTGTCCTCGAAATAATAATATATTAATCGCATGTATTACGAATCATACATCTTTCTTGCCGTATGCAAAGTCGAGGTAACTGCTCCGATCATTGTGGCTTTAATTATTATGCCAATTGACATAATTGGCGCACGTAGGCATCCATAAGCCACTGCAGGAATAAAATATCCCTTTTACTGCGATATATTTACACGCCAATAAATCAAAAGAAATTAATTACCAGTTTTAGAAACTGTATATCGTCTGAAAAATTATATATATGTAGCTAAATAAATATATAGTCCTTTTCGGAAACAATCGCATTTTTTTTATAGATCGCGATTTAAAATTGATATTATTCGGGAGCGATTATTAGCTTCAGTGATTCGTCTTGATTTTGTAACTCGTTTTGGAAAGTTTCGATCATTGCCATTAAAATTGAAAGTCACGTATATCGCTGTGCGATTCTTGAGTAGTCATTTCATTATCGCGACAGTTACGTAATGCGTTTCTCGTAGACGAATGCGAATGGTGTTTCTTAATGCGAGCGTCGAAAAATTTGGCATATTTGTTCAACTAGTCTGTTTCGACCTTCGTAAAGAATAATATCGTTTTCCCGAAGCGCGGCGATTGTTGGAATCATATCGCGACGAAAATCACCCCGTTTGAAATAACACTTCAAACAATGGGAGAGATTCTATCCCGCGATAAAATTTGCAATGAAGAGAAAAAAAAAACGGTATAATATTTGAAACAATGATGCAAGGTTCACATGGAATGAAATGATGTACGAATCTCTTTCGTATATCTGACCTCAAGATATTAAAACGCGCGTTTGACTCGAAGTCAAATGAAATTCTTTCGAGCTTTCTACGATAACAGATATATCCAATCGAATTTTACGAGTATCGTAAAATAATAAATTTGTTTATCGATCAAACTGAATATTAATATTTATATTTTTGAGAAAAACGAGTTGAAACCTCTAAAAATCGTGTTTTTTTATCATCTTTGAAAATTCGTAGACGAATCCGATGTGCAAGAAACTTCAGACTGGGCTCGAATGATTTTTAAATTTATTTTGGGGCGCTGAATCCAAATCCGACAAAATAACAAAATGGCCTATGAGGTTAAGTTTTCGAGAAAAACGTGGTTGAAATTCTCAAAAAACGCGTTTTTTATTATTTTTGAAAATTTATAGCAGACGAACCCGATATGCAAGAGACTTCAAACAGAGCTCAAATGAAAGCTTGAACATTGTACTTTAATATAAAAATATCGAATCTTTTATTTGCAATCGGATTGCATGGAACAATCGTTCTACCTGACACAGTGCGACTACATTTAAAAACAAAGCACGCCTGAGGTTCGATTGTACTTGCGGTAGAAGATTCGATATTTTTATATTAAAGTATAATGTTCAAGCTTTCATTTGAGCTCTGTTTGAAGTCTCTTGCATATCGGGTTCGTCTGCTATAAATTTTCAAAAATAATAAAAAACGCGTTTTTTGAGAATTTCAACCACGTTTTTCTCGAAAACTTAACCTCATAGGCCATTTTGTTATTTTGTCGGATTTGGATTCAGCGCCCCAAAATAAATTTAAAAAAATTGTTTGCATTTCTGGCACTAAAAAAATGTGAAATCTGTAAACTGTTCTAGTGTAAAACGAAACTAAAATCGTTTATCGAAAATATGTTTATTTGTAATTTTCCCTTACATTTTATAATCTCTCACTTTGACATGATGCAAACTATTCGAAAATAAGTCTTTTATTCGTTATAGATTCTCTTAAGGTTCGTACTCTCTTCTCGGCATGAGGCCTTTCAAGTGCGTATACGCGAGAACCCACGCGTTGCATGGATCTTTATTTGGTCCTTGGTTACAAAGTATGCTTAACTGACATTTCGTGGAGAGATTAATAATGATTCCGATTCTTATTAATTGCCGTGCAATTTTATTTCTCATCAAGGTTAATAGATGAAGCAATTATATACCTATATAATATTCTAAGAGTGAGTGTGCATGCAAAATTTCGTATAAACGTGACGTATCAGTTCGTACATAGTTTTGCCTGGTACCATCAGATCACGATCAGAAATTAGCGCTATAACAATATTGTACAAAGAACTTTCTGGACACCATCCAATATCATTAAAATATCTTAATAAAGCGCATATGAAAAAAATAAGCAAAGACAGGAATATTACCTTGGAATATCGAAGGCAAAAAATTGCTTCTTGATTATTACCATGACGTAACAAGGGTATAAGAAAGTAAATCTTATATAATAAAAAAGTTTATAATGAAAAATTTTTGAAAAACTCGTGCATAATTAAATTTTGTTTGTCAAATCTTGAAGGCAGAAAAACGTGGAGTTTTAGCGAATCAAATCGTCTGGCTTATGACATGTGTCAATAAAGCGATAAAAAATTTTTATTCGAAATGTAATAAAATTTTTGTAAGATGAAACATACAAATGCTCATGTATTAGTCATTGTTATAGCATTGAATTATATAACCCGTCAAATCATAATGTCGCATTCTTTCTGCATTGCAGTACATATTTATATTGTTACCTGATTCTAGCGCCAAAACTTTACCAGAACGCGATAGTACGTGATAGTGCTTTCGCCTGCATAGATGATTATATATTTGTCGATGTTTGCTTTATACAGGGCGAGCCCAAACGTTCTGGTCAGACTTTGAGATTTTACAGGAAATTTAATTCTGAAAAAGTTCCCTATAAATATGGGTCGAAAAATGCTTCCTTAAAAAGTTAGCGCCCAAAAACTTTTGAAATCACGGTTATTTTATATATTTTTATATATATCAGGAAAAGTATGCATTTTTTAACAAAAAGTATCCAGACTAAAGTTGTAGAGAATTAAATTATCTTTGAAATGAGATTAAAACGAATGTAGTACGCATACGCATCCCTGATATTTGTAAAAATGTATAAAATAACCGTGATTTTAGAAGTTTTTGGACGCTAACTTTTTAAGGGAACATTTTTCGACCCATGTTTATAGGAAACTTTTTATTCAGAATTAAATTTTCTATAAAATCTCAAAGTCTGGCTGGAACATCTGGGTCCATCCTGTATTCCATATTGCAAAAGCCCAAAATACCGAGCAGATGGTAACAGTACAGACCTTTCACTTATTATAATACACACACACATACACCTGTATGTGCTCTTTTTAATCAATAAACTATCGTCAAGTCAGTAGCTAAATGTCATTAAGCCTCAAGCATAAAATATGAACAAATACATGAAAAAAAAAAGACTAATCATTTTTTAAATGTAGGGCGTACTATGCTCTGATCTGACTGAGCTATACCTAGATTCTCGCTTTTGCATTCGACAAATAATCTACTGTCACGAAGGTAGACGTTGTGTAATGGAATTGAAATTTCACGTGATCTACAATATAGCATCGCGTATTGGGGTAATTCAATAATCCATAATATATGTCCTATAATTCTCTCTCTCTAACACGAATTCACGATAAATCTCATATCTTATATTCTAATAAAAATAAACGTAATATATAACGAAATTATTTTCAGAAATACTTGCATGTATGTTTTTTTTTTTTAAATGAATAGCGCTTTGTTTTCTTTTACTTTTTTTTTTTTTTTTGTTCAACTACATCGAGCATGTTGAAATCAATAAAAGGGGGATGACGTATCGGTGAGAAATCAAAACATCGCTCTGCAGTATCATGCGGTGCGGCTCCTACAAATGTAAGGGTAAAAGGGTGACCTAGTGGCCGAGCTATCGCGAGGAACTCCAA